TCTCTAATTTTACTATTTGATCAAAAAAAGAAGCTTGCATTTGCAATAGGTGAGTAATTTTGTGCCTTTAGATTTGGTTCCAACCTTGTTTCATAACCGATTATCTTTAGGTATCAATCCAATTCTTCTTAAATAATTTCTAGTAGAATCTATCTTCTAATTCCACCTAAAAATGCTTGTTGTATTAATTTTGCTAATCAACCTTGTTTTTCCTTTTTTATGATCTTTCAAAGTATGTAGAACTTCTTTTAACAAATAGAGCAATATAGACACTATTTTTCTAGTTTCTTCTATTTTTTATTTATAATTTTTAAAGTAATTTTTAATTATATTTTTAATGAATTCTTTTAGGATTATTGGTCTTTAGATATTCTTTCAACTAATTGATGTATCACAATATAACAAAATTCTAATAACTTATTTGTAATGTAATTAGCATATTAAAACTCTTAATAATAAATTTTGATATGATTTAAAAGATAATATCAAAGATATATTATTAATAATAGAAAAATTAGATTTATTGGAGAATTTCATTACTTAAGTAATTGCATACAATAATCATCTCATTAAGAATAAAGGTTTAATTAGAAAAGAAAATATATAATTATGACAATAACTTCTAGAAATCTAATAACTAATTTTATTAAACCAAAATATATATATAGATTGAGAAAATTTAATTTAAGTAGTTAATTTAAAATTTTAAAAAATATTATCTTAAATTATTATTTTATATTTTATAAAATTATGTTATTAATTATAAATTTTTTATACAAAATCAAATAGATTTAAGACTTAAAATTTTAATTTTTAAAAATTAAAAATAAGTTAAAAATATTATCATTAAAAAAACCTCGAAATTAGACCAAAATCATGAAATATATATCTCATATTAATATATTTTATAAATAAAGATTTTAGATTATAATACAAATTATAAATATTAAAGAAATTTTGATCAAATATAATAGAAGTAATTGACATACAACCTCTTGCATTTAAAATTATTATAAAATAAACCAATCTATTAAAATAATATTACAATAATATGTATTAAAAAAATCCTATACTATTTAATATCCTTTCGATTCAATGGTATTTAGTTTATTTTTATTTAAATTATACAATCTTAATATATCGTAGAAATTACAAATATTTACTTTAAGATTTAGTTCAAAAGTCAAAAAAAAATTTCAATCTATATTTGTTAAAGCTAAAAAATTTATGCAAGTTGTAAAAAAATAAAAAATAAAAAATACATAAACAATATCAAGTCCTCATTTAAATAGAATTTACAAATGAACATTAGTATATTATAAGATATATCAAGATATATTTGAGATTTTTTTCTTTGATATGTTATCATATTATTAATCTTATAATTACACAATTAATCTTCAAGAAGAAATTCAACTACTTTTTAGATCAATTTATAACTTATTAAAAATTTAATTTGAAAGAATATATTAATAAAAATATAATAAAGAATTTTATCCAATATTTAAAATCTTATATAAATATTCCGATTTTTTTTGTGAAGAAAATATTTAGATCCTTATAAATGTATATAAAATGTTGAAAATAAAAAAAATCAACCATTAAGTGTTATTATAATTTAATTTTTATATTAAAGCTTTAAACTAATTGAATGAACTTATAATTTATATTAAAATAGAAATATTTGAAGTATATTATATATTACCAATCTTATACTATTAGTCATTTAATATTATTATTAGTGAAAGGATTGGCTCTTGGAATATAGCAAAATCATCTTATAGATAAACGACAATATCAAGGGCTAAGAAATAAGGTAAAGAGGATAAAAGATCTATTAGAAAATATTCAAAACATATATAAGACCATAAAGTATATGTCAAGATATATTTTTGTGGTAGATGAAATTTCGAAGAATATTTTAGGTACATCCAATAATAGATGTAAAAGTGAAGGTATGGAAATTCTCTGTAAAAGCATAAACTACAATCTATAAGTAAAGATTTTTAGAAGTAAGAGTCATCTTATTCCATACTTCTCTTTGTATGCAACCTTGTTGATACTAAATATTACGACTTCTAATTTATTTTATTTTTTTCAGAGATAAATATATTATTTATTACATATTTAAAAATAATTGGAATATATGTAAGTCCAAAAGATATAATAGTATATTCAAAGCAACCATATTTAATTTGAAAGAAACCCCTCTATTAAATATATATATCTTTGATTGTCACACTTTAACAAAATTGCCTCCAGTTGCACACATCCAATGTCCTCCAAAACTTGTCTTAGTCAAATTTTTGTCAAGGACAAAAAACACAAAAAATCAAAAACTAAATACACTCTTGTGTCACTAAAAGAAGAGTAGATAATGATTCAAAGATGATATAATATTAAACTAGAATAGTTGTTGCTAAAGACAAGAAAAACTTGAAATTCTTAAAATAAAACTAAAAATAAGAAAAGCATTGACAAGAATAAAGAAGACTTCACTCTTATTTCTATATATACTATCTAACTAGAAGCTATGTAGTGATGTTGTTGTGTGGTAATATGACTATATGGTGAAAGAAGAAAGGAAAGATTATATTATAGAAGAGCTTAAATAAAATTACTTTAGAAAATTATCTTAGAAATATAGATAATAGATGAAATAGTAAAAAATAATAAATACTCATGTTGCCTTCTTAAAGAAGAGACTTCTACTTACTTTGTAGGAACATAAATGAGCCAAATAAAAATAAATGAGATAAATATTAATATTGGTATTTTAAAAAAGAGATTAAAAATAGATTTTGGTAAAAACTATTTCATAATATGAAGAATTGATACCTAAAATAGACCAATTGTGAACTAAGATTAAAATAAAATATTAAGAGACAAAACTATGCAGCTACAATAATTTTGAGGTTTTTTAATTGATTGAAGAGCAAAAATTGAGAGAAGATTGTGAGAAGATTTTTAAGAGATGGTTTTATGTGATTTAAAGGCATATTGAGGTTTTGAGAGCTTTTCAAAGTGAGAGATATATTCAATGGATTTGGATTTTAAGAAATAAAAAGAAGTTCAAAAAATTAATACTTTTATGAGTGTTGTAGCATATTTATAGGTAAAAATTAGTGAATTTGTCACTGTACTTGTTTTAAATGTATGAAAAATTTTTGATATTAATTATATGATTGGATTGAAGGTTGTAAAAGTTTTTGTGGATTATAGTCTTAAATAATTGAAATTTAGGATTAATGAGGATTTTTGAAAAATTGCAACATTTACTAGTTCAATTGAAGCAAAAATTGGTGAGAGCCATTAAGACTTAAAAATTTACACAAAAATGAGATTTTGATACAATTAAATAGTTTAGAAAATAGAAATTTTTATTGGAAGCTCAATGTTCAACTTTGAAAAGAAAGGTAGCCAACATTCAACACGTTTTGAGAGCATTGCTTTCAATTGGCAAGTTCAATTCTTTTTAAAATTTGTGTGCTTATCAATTATGTATAGATTGAAATCTAAATGAAATTTTAATGAAGATTAATTATTCAATTAATTTTTTATTAAAATTTTAAAATATATAAATTTATTGATTAATATTTATTTAGGATTTTCTTGAAAATATTTAGGTTTTGATTTGGATTTGATTAGGATTTAGGATTTTATTATGATTGAATTAAGATTTAGTTAAGGTTTAGAATTTTATTAGGATTTGGTCTAAGATTTTATTAAGATTTTATTATGATTTTATTAGAATTTTATTAGATTGTTTTTAGGATTTTTAGAGCTTTATTATAATTTGTTTAGGGCTTCATTAAGATTTAATTAGTATTTATCTAAAATTTATTTATCTTTTCTATTTTTAGTATTTTAATTTTTAATTTTTTTTAAAAGATTTTTTTTTGGATTTTTTTGGATTTCTTTATTAATATTTTTTAAAATTAGTTTATGACTTCATTATTTTTCTTTTGTAATTTCTTTTAAATATCTTTTGGATTGATTAAAGTTTGATTAAGGTTATTAGTGATTATTTAGAGTTTATTTAAGATTCTATTAAATTTAATAAGCTCTTGTTGTTGTATTTTTTATTTACCTTCTACAATTAGATACTTGATGCATTCTCAAGTTTTTTTACAATTGAATTAAGATTTGACTCTAATTTTTAAGGTTAAATTAAGGTTTCTTTATAATTTTATTAAGATTGTTAAGTTCTTTCTTTATTGCAAATACAATCTACCTTCTACAATAAAATTTATAATGCATTTCTATGTTAGTTTTATATAACACAATAATAGCCTTTTGCTAGAATTAAAAACAGATTGTGTTTTTATAGTTTTTTTTTTTTTTTTTTTTTTTTTAATTTATGCACAACTTTTCAACAATTACTACATATATCTAAACTTAGATTGTAGAGATGTAACATTTTTGTTTTTATTATTATTATTTTTAATAATTTCTAATCTTTCAAAAGCTACTTTGAAGAATTAATTATGGTATTTTTAATATAAGATAAAAAGAATTTAATATAAAATTTAAAAAAATTGAACCAAATCATATTTATAAAAGTCAAAGGAACATAAGAAAAGATTGGATTTCAATGGATCTAAATTTCAAAATACATTGGAGTACTTTAAATAGGATATCCAAAATAGAACACGTTTTTTTTGTACGTCTTATTTTTGCAGATTGGGACTCGATAAAACATCAACTATATCTGAACATGATTCTGAGAGCATTGAAATCAATCAAAAAACATCAATTTAATTCATATAGAAATAATTAATCATTTCCATTATCAGATTTAGTGCATGAGAAGGTTCATTTACTAATTTATTACAAACATTAATCAGTTCCCAAGAATATGTCATGTTCCATGTATCGATTCTATGTAAGATCATAGACCTAAACTCCATTGGGTATAACCACAATGATTCCCACATAATTTTTTTTTTAATAATCTCCATCACGCATGTACTTGGTGTTTGAATTACACGTTTGCAGAATTGCCGATCATAACAGTATTTGAGGAAATTGATGTATCCTTATGAGTCATGTACATTCAAACATTGAATTAGAAGTTGCAACAGCTGAACTTCAGGAATGACCTGAGTGTACCAGGGCCTCAGTGGCTTGGTGCCAGAGTTGGATGAATGATATGCAGCCCAACCAGACGTTAGGGTCCAACCCTCATCAAACGGTCCATCTGTTCCAAAGCCCACTTCATCCATAAATCTGTCCAAATGAGCGGGGGAGGACTACCGACCAGTGTGAACAGGCAGAGTAAAGTAGGAACGGGGGGAAATAAAATGTGAGTGACCGCAATCGTCACAGATGATTGATATGCAAAATAGACCAAGACAAACAGCGAGTGTAGAAGGCACAAGAGCGCGAGCGAGAGAAATAGAGAGAGCGAACCAGGGCGAGTGGCGTCAACTGAGCTCATCGTACACCTGGCGTCATGCTATTCCGCCTACCCCCGGATGGGAGAGATGAGGCCAGGTGAGGTGAAGCCCTTCGGTCACGGCGAAACGTTTTCAGCTCCCCTGAAGCAACGGCAACACAGAAATAATGGAGGACGGAAGGCGGCCCAGAGCAGAAAGCGTAATGATGGGCAGCAGGACGCGACGTCGTGACAGTCAGACTGAGGCGCAGAGAGGGTATCAGACTTTGCAATAACTCAGCTCGAGTGCGTCATCACCACACCCAACGTATATTTACAGTCCCTGCTTCCTCATTACGAGAACTCCGTTACAGTGCCAATGGAGGCTGCTCACTGGAATCAGGGCAGCGGATGGGAGAAGGGCTCTGATGGGGTAATGCGTGGGTTAATCGTGCTGATGCAAGTAGACGACGAGGGACGAATCTCCTGTCTCTGAAGCTACCACAGCGGATAGGCGCTGAAGAAGGACGAGGATTGCAGGTGCTCTGGGAAGCAAATACTGGGACCCACGGCCATACCACGTTCTTCACATCGGCTCCAAAACACTAGATGCCAGACGTCGTTAGACTGTACCCATCCCCGTCACAGAAACCTCTCACTCTGCGCACATTTCGCTTGCTTAGGTTGCTGTATGTTACCAGCTACCCGATCAGCGTCACGCCCCGTTGGGCACAACTTCGCGCGACCAACCGTTGCTCGCACAGTTCGTCCTCAAGCAGAATTGATTTTCTACCATTACGCTGGGAGATGAGGCGCAATAGCAGGGGCAAGTACACAATGAGGCAGCTGGCATGTTGACTTGATTTGACCGAGGCGCATGTCAAAGAGCGAGCAAGCGAGCGAGCGAGAGCGCTGTGGGAGACTTGCGGTACGTCGCTTCGTCCAGTGAAGGAGAGGCCAGAGGAGCAGCATTACCTTGGTACATGGTGCAACAACGTCTTGTCAGTCTAGGTCGTGTATGGTTCCGAGGGGAGGGGCTCATGTTCATCACAGTTATGCAATATCGACCAGCTTCGTAATTGGATTCCCTATTCATCCCCTCATTGGATGGTGCCTTCCACAGTCTGACCCCTCCGCCTGCTCCTACTATCAGACATCCCGCCTCATCAAGGCTACCAGTCAGTTGCTGCTGCTGCTGCCTAGAGTAGGTTGACGCAGATGGGTTAGCAAAACTAATCTACATGTGAAAGTGCTGGAGAGACACAGAGAGAGAGAGACAGAGACAGAGAGACAGAGACAGAGAGAGGGAAATAGAGAGACACACAGACAGACAGGGATGGTTGCTGCTTGGCGCGAACCTGGGTGGTGCCTGGTATCTAGGCCATTATAACGTTCGACGGGTGTTTCGGTGCTTCCTCTAGTTCCAATAGCCACGGAGCGCACGCTTCGCAACTGCAGCTGGGTAGTTCACCCAGCCAAGCGCGGCCGCGCAGAGAATGGTGTGGTTCTCGCCTTTCGAAATCCAGGCGCTCCCCTTCGCTCCGACGCCGCATGTAGTTGCTGCACACGCAATACGTCCATTGCCGCTGTAACGCCGTAGCATTAGACGCCCAATGTCGCTGTTTGCGGTGGTACCTCGGTTAAGAGGAGAGCGTCTTAAAACATGGCATGAAGTACAGTCAGTGTAGCTATTGCTTGCACGACACGCTGACGCCCCCAGTGCGGTGTCCGCGCCGATAGGAGCGTGGTAAGGGTTGGCCATGGCGGTGATATGAGTGCGGTTGTGAGGTAACGTGTTTGGCCCTTCTGGCAACGGACGCTACAGCAAGCACCTTCTTGTCCCAGCGACGTGGATTGTGGTCAGTGTTCCGGACATCCTCGGTAGGGCGAGGTCACAATCGTGTCCAATGTTTGAATGCGCGTAGGCATCACCATGGGTTGCAGCGAGAGATGCGGGCCGAATGAGAGCGGGACGTGGATGTGGAGTGTTGAATGTGTGGTGAGCTTTGAAGCCTTGGTTTCCGTCATTGAGGTTGCCACATTGTAAGCGTGGTGTCGCCTGGTTTTGCAGGAACACAGGCATGCAGAGATAGAAGAGGTGTGAGTTGTACGGGGAGATGCACGCGACGTCGGGCTTTGGTGCAATGCAATGCGGTTCAGAAGCAGGACGAAAGGTGTGTGGGATCACCCGCTGGAGGCCGGATGTGAATTGATGCCAACAGCGCATCGGACGGAGTTGGAAGTAGCTTAGTATCTGGAGAGGATTGCCATGGATAGACCCGGGTGGGTAGCGGCCCAGCAGCACCACCGGCGGGGGCACAGTATGGGCGGCGGGGTGAGAGAGAAAGACGAAGATCTAGCATTGTTCAAGAACATGGGAAAGCGGGCGGACCAGACACCCTTTCTGTACCCCGGCAGTGGCGACCAGTTCATCGATGCTAACCTATGTAAGTGTAGTTCTTGCACATTGTGCATCCAACCCTGTGGGCGCGTGGGTTCTTCCCGAGCTGGGAGCATTTTGCACTCCTGGAGTCCATTTGGACATCCAGAGAATTGCAAAAGCGGACCTTTACCTGTTGTAGTTATGTTTGTTAGGACGATTCTCAATTTCTATCATCACTTTGAAAGTGACCCCGCGTATCATGACTAGGCAGCGATCACGTTGCCTGTCCCTGTTTTCCATTTTTTGCTGCACCAGCCGCTGCAGCGATGGTCCGGCAGGTTGAGAAGTTTGTTCCCTTACAATCGTGTCAGACCCTCTCCCCTATCCTTGTCTCCTTCAGTGTCTTGTGCTGCACCAAGAAAAAACGGAAGTTCCTGTAGGAGCAGCAATTCTGAGGCGAATGTTTACCTACGCGTTCTTCGAATATGAATACACAGCAGTGAAGTTCCCACATGACGCAGTTACTGGGTTGGAAATTACAGCCACTCTAACTTGGGTTGTGCAATGCAGCTACCAAATTCGGAGGGTTCTCACACCCACACTCGGCCCCGCCGGTGCAGAGGAAAGGCATCGGAGCAGAGTTGCTGAACTCGGATGTCGACAAGACTGACTATGACTGGTGAGAATGCTTGTCCACACCTTCCGACCCATGGTTTGGAGCTGGTGGGAGAATCCCTGCCTTGAGTGGTTGTAGAGGAAGATGGGCTAATTCAGAATGTTGGTATTTGCAGGTTGATGACCCCGCCAGGGACGCCTCTGTTCCCCTCGCTGGATGCAGACTCGCCGGCGCTGCAACAAGGCATGATCGTGAGTCGATCCCTGGCTGCCATCAAAACGTCGCGGGTGAGGCGTGTCTCATTGACCTGATTCCTTCCAAAGTAGAAACAAATGTCGAGCCTGCGTGATAGTGTGCAGCGACGGTCGCGGGTGTGCTCGTCGTTGACAACTTGGTTTGGCGGTGAATTGCAGGTGAGCGCTGGCGGGCGTGGCGATGTGGGCGGCGCAAAAGGGAGTAGAGGCAATCCGAGCCCTGGTCGCAGATCCAGCACTCCTCAGAGCGGGCAAAGCAGCGCAAGCGCAGTGGCAAGATCTCAGAACCAGGCCATGAGCAGAAGTGGCAGCAGCAATCGGCCCGCCACGCCCACAAGATCTTCCACGCCTACCTCGATCAGGGCGTCTCCGAGCAATCGTCCATCGACACCCACACGACAGAACAGCGTGGGTGCGCGGCCCGTGACGCCGTTGGGAGCGAGGCCTGCAACCCCGACCAGGAAGCCTGGCACCCCGAGCTCATCCGCAAGGCCGTCTTCCACGCCCACCCTCCGACGGTCGAGCTCGAGTCCGACGGGGAGCCAAACCCACGGGGGAGTCTCGGCTCGGGGCAATCCTTCCCCGACGAGGAGCACTGCCAGCACTGGAACCAGCGCGCTGCGGGGAGTATCTCCTGTGAGATCCACGAGCAGCCGCGGCGTGTCACCCGTGAGAGGAGTGTCTCCAGCGCCATCGGCTCGGGGGCGGTCGCCGTCGCCCAGCTTGAGGGCTCCGTATCCGGTGGACGCGTCGGACGACATTCCTCCCAATCTTCGGACCACTTCGGAACGCCCCAGCCCTGCGCGAAGTCGTGGAGCCGCGTATGGCGCGAGCCCGGGCGAAGCGCCCGGCAGAAGTGCCAGCCCAGCCCCACCGCAGCGACGAACTGCGTCCCCTGCCAGATCCATTCGAAGCTCGACGTCGGTGAGCCAGACCGTGGACAGGTTGAGCCGAGCCGCGTCGTCGGACAGTGAGAGCAGCTTTGACACGTGCTCTCAGTCGGGTATATCCAGTCATGGGATTCTGACGCCAGACAAAGCCGGGTCCGGGAGGCGGATGTCGTATGGGCGAGGGATTGACGAGCATGGGCGGTCGAGCAGCTTGCAGAAGGCCAGGCGAGGCAGCTCGACGTCGCCGCAGTTCGGGCCTTCGTCATCCAAAAAGTCTCTGGAATCAGCCGCGCGGGTAACGTCTTGGCCTTTCTTGCTGACGTTGGCGTGAAACCATTTCAGGGTGGGTGCTGGCTCCCGTGAAAAGAGAGTGAGAGGTTGCAGTGGCGCTGTTACCCAACAAGGTGGTCTTGCGTTTTGTTCGTTACTAATGCTGTGGTGAACAGGAATACCATCGAGGCCAAGTTGCGGCGTTTCGGCCTCTGATGACCAACAGCTCCATTTCCACATTCTACACCAGCAGGGCAAGCGGGCTGCTTCGGAGGCCACTGACGCCGAGCAGCACGGCAAGCTCCTCCGAGCACGGTGCCACGGTGGCGCATGACAGTGAGGTGGACGACGAGGATGCCGGCAGCCAGTGGAAGGGGTCGATTGGACGGGGATGTGAAGCTCAGTCCCCTCTGCAGCTGTTCGACAAATCTCTGGGCAGCGCGCACGAGAGTGGCACCCTGGATGGGAGCAGCATCGCGGACAACGAGGAAATGAGCAGCTTCTTCAAGAACTCGGAGCTTGCTCTGGAGGTGGAACCGAAGCTGGAGGAACGGGTGGGCAATGCGGAGATCAATTGGTTGTCCAGAGATGAAGCAGAGGATGCGGAGTATCTGTGCTCGGGGGACGTGAAAGACGGCGAGTCTCATCCTGCTTTTGACTCGAGGAATGAGGGCAGCCGGGTTCCGGCGGGGCTGAGCAAGGCGGTAGAGGACGCAGGCAACAGTGGTAATGGAGTCGGGGCGGGTTCTGGTAGCAAGCCAGGCAGTTCATCAGGACTGGAGAAGATCAGGGATAAGTTGAGGCATCTGAAAAGCAGCACTGAGGCCGAGACTGAGGGTGAAGGCGTGGAGCTCGCAGCCACGAGGGCGCATGCTGTGAAATGTGTGCTCGGCAGTTCCACTGATGCGCTCAGTGGTCCGAGAGTCGCAAGTCCGACGGAGGGGTTGGTTCAGCTCAGTGGCGGGGAGGTTGAGGAGGTATGTGTTGTTTGCGGTCTCGGGAAGACTCCGGCAGGTCGTGTTGGAACGTCTGAGAGGTGCGGGTGTCGGTGCGACTCGCTCGCAGGCGGGTCACTGCAATCGCAGGAAGGGGTGTGTTCAAGGCCGTTTAGTGGGGAGGGAGGAAGCGCTAAGGAGGAGAAAACGAGAGGCCCGTCCAGGGCGGTCGACATGGTTTACG